GCGTATTCCCGCAATGATATTTGTGAACTGAAACCATGGCTCCCAGAGTTCCCTTATTTCATGAACCAAAGGTAGATGTACAGCTACATCAAAGTCATATTTACGCAATATGTAAGGGTTATCTCTCAAAGTATGACATAAGGTTCTAATTAGTATTCTTTCTTCCTATCCATTTTTCTTGGAAAGTCTTGCAAGTTGCAAAAGTCTGTTTTTGAAAGTGATGTAATCTGAACAATTTCTATATATTCTGATTGTTTCGGTTTTAAAAGTGTAGGTAATTATATTTCTGGGTACATTTAATTGCCAGATTGAATATCTTAAAACTTCGAAGCTGTACTCATCTGTTTTGTTATATAATGCGAATGCTATATTGCTGTTTGTTACTTTTATGTTCAGGTCTGAAAAGCTTGTTTCATTTTCCTTCGTGTTAGTTTTTTCTATGATAAGTTCGTTGTGGTAGATATCCGTCAAGGACCGTTCGAAATCAGTGGCGTATTCGGAAATATGTAGTATATCATCAATGTATCTGTAGGTGTTGTTGAATCTATGTAAGTTCCCGGTGTTATTGTTTGCTTTCATTCTTTTGATAAATTCATATTCCATATAGGATAGAGTTAAATCAGCCATCTGAGGACTGCATGAAGCCCCTTGCGGAATGCCCCTCTCCTGCTTGTATACCATACCTGCGAAACTAAGATAACTATTATCGAGAAGAGAATTTATCATATATAGTATATCTTCTATTTGATAACAATTTCCTTTGGGTTTCGTAACATTTGAGTACATCACATTTTGATTGTTTATTCTTATAAATTTATATCCTTTCATACATAGCGTTATGAGTTTACTCAAATTGTTCTTCACTACTGAGTGCGGTAAACTCGTGAACAGACTAGAAAAGTCTGCCGAGAAAATTTTCTTGTTTCCGTGGCAACCACTAAGGTCCTTAAGCACTGTTGTGCTATTATTAATCGCCCAAAAGTGTTTGATTTTACTTCTCTGGAAGATAACATTGCAGTAGTTCATAAAATGCTTTCTTATATGACTGAGTATAAGTGTCAAAAGTTTTGTCAGGGGTTTTAACGTGCTATTTTTAGCTCTCGTTATAAATCTAAATTTTATAGGTATTTTATGCATTTTAGGAATCCCGTAAATTGTGGGTATTTCATTGTATGATGCTTTACTTTCAAATTCAATCCATGTAATATCCTTTCATGTATACCTCTAACTTCTTCCCATTTAAGTTGTGTAATCTTGTACGTCCGCACATTACTGTTTGTTTGTTCCAGTTCCTTTAATATCATTAATAAGTACAACTTTTTGCAGGTGAAGCTGAAATTGGAACTTGCTTTGTCTGTTGGTGCAATTACAAAATGTTTTTGTATTTTATTTAGTTCCTCTCTTCTATATTCATCTTTCATGATGACTTCTTGGTCACATAATTCATAAAGTGTAGGCTTAAATTGTTTGTAAATATTTTTACAAACTTTTTTTCCAGAAATATTGCTGTTGGGGTACTCAACTTTAGAGAATTTCTTAACCTTTGTGCTAAAAGGCGTGCTAAATGTTTCAGCAGATTCCATATGTCTTGTTTTGTCACTACACTGTGTGTTCTGTATTTGAAGCCTCTGGTGAATATTTCTTTCAGTTCATCATCTTTTATTATATTAACATCCCCTGTACATACATGCCCCAGGTTACTGTTAATATATTCTTATCATTGCCCGCGTATTGAGCGGTCGTGCTTTGGCGCTCTCGATCTTGTTGTCGATTTTGTCATGGTTGTGACTCGTTCTTCTCAAAACAAATTCAAGGCTTCTTTTTCTCAGATTTCTCAGGTCTCCCAAACTCTAAGTGATGATCCTCTCATTGCTGGTTTGTCTGATCCCGGTTTTCTAAAATCATGTTCCCATCTAAGGAGCATTCCCTCGCAGTACTTAGCAAGTCTAAATTGCTGCGCAATAATCCCCGGTTTTCTAACGTATACATTAGGCCAAGTCTTACAGCAGACCAACGTAAAAGGGAATATGAGCTGCGTAAGGAGGCACGCGTAAAAAATCAGGAGCTTGGGTACAAAGCATACGTTGTCTACAAGGGGGATCTGGTCAAAGTCGCCGATCTGCAAGGGAGCTCAGGGCAACATCCAAAGCAGGGAAACTAAATTATGAGCATGGTACCCGTAATATGAAATGTGTGTTATTGAATGCCCGCAGTTATTGAACAAAATTGATTTATTTCGTCTTCTGTTTAATCGTTAATATCTTTCTTCCCAACAAGTCTTTTGCCTTGCTTCAGATACCATTTTGTAAAGCTGGCTTCAACTTAGATTTACAGTATGAAATGAATCACCGAACGCTCTTCATTACTGTAGGATTACGGTAGAAACTTGAAACATATGGTGTCAACGTTAAAAAAAGCTGCCGTCTCAAATTTTTTCAAAAGAATGTGAAAACTTGTGTAATAGGATTTTTACGGACGCTTAGTTCAATTTTCATCTATTCACAAGGTTGCGAAGCTTTCTAAACGGTGTAACCGCACTTTTTAGGAACATTGAAAAAATGGCCGCTACCTCTTACCCGGCATAACTCTTCAATGAAGCATCATAATAAGTTGGGAACTTTACAGTTAGAATCAACAACTTAATTAGCTTAGCGTAAAAGCTTTCAGGCTGTTTTGTTTCCTTTCTGAGGCAAAATATGGCCTTTCATGGCTCAAAACCCTCTTCGAAGTTTCTACCGTAATCCTACAGTAACGAAGAGAGATGGGTGATTCGTTCTATACTGCAAATCCAAGTTGAAGCCAGCTCTACAAAACGGCATCTGAAGCAAGGCAAAAGACTCGTTGGGAGGAAAGATATTAACGATCAAACAGTGCATACATACTTTACGGACATCCTGTATTTGTCCGAGAAACTATTATTTGTGAAGAGATACCAGTAACTAGTTTGAGGTTGAGTGAAACACTATGCTTACAAATATCAGATAATGTGACGCAATCTCAGTGTATAATTATCCTCGTCTATCGCCCTCCATCTTCTTCTCATAGTGATGATTCCAAACTCATTGATTCGTTGCAAATTCTTTGTAGCATTCATAGAGATATTGTTTTTGTTGGCGATTTTAACTTGCTTATTGACTGGTCGGCTAAAACGCCACTATGCTCTGCATCTGCCAGCTCAGACAATCGCCGGGGGCAGGCGGGCACCGGAAAAATAGATTGCTGGTCTCTCGCACCCCGCTCGCGGATTTTCTGGAAAGCAATCAGAACTTTTCAGAAGACCGCTTGCTGAGTTCTCGTTTCCTCAGAGATTCAGCAATATATCTGCAAAAGATAAGAGCGAAAAGAATTCAACAGGCGGTCTCTCAAAAATCCGATGACTCAGCAAGAGGTCTTCCGAAAAGTTCTGATTGCTTTGCAAAAAATCCGCGAGCGGGGTGCGAGAAATCAGCAATCTATTTTTCCGGTGCCCGCCTGCCCCCAGCGATTGTCTGAGAGGTTTATCAAGTTGTTCGATGATCTTTCTCTCATCATCATGTACTGTATCCTACGAGGAATGATAATGTACTTGATTTGGTACTGTCAACTTCGCCTTTGGTACATAATGTGACTATACGACCACCGCTTGGGTTATCTGACCATGCAAGCATTTACTTTGACCTTATGTTGCCGATTGATTTTCCCTGTTCGGATTGTTGCCTTGACTATGCGAGCGGTGATTATTTGGCCATTTCTTCCTGTTTGGACACTATTGATTGGTGGTCCCTGTTCGACAATTCTTGCTCTATTGATGACATGTATCAACGCTTTCTCGACCTTTTACACGACTTACTGTCGCGTTTCATCCCACTGAAACGAGCAAGGTATGAGACTGACCACTACCCTACTCACATCAAGAACTTGATAGAACAAAGGGATCGCTTGTTTTGTACAATCCATGACCCGTTAACATCTGATAGATATAAAAACGTGGTGAAAAAGTTGACCAGACACCTAGCCAAATTCAATGCAAATAGACAGAAAAGACTATCCAATATGAGCACTTCCTCTCTCTTCAAGTATGCCCACCTGATTTTCAAAGAAAAGCATGGCCCTCAAGGATTACATGATCACCAAGGAAATTTATGCAAGACTGAACAAGAGAATGCCGAATGTCTTGCTCATTATTTTGCATCGGTTTTCCAGAAACCGACAAACTCTAGACCTAGCCTTCCTATTGATCTAACCAATCAGATACAAAGTTCCTCATACCTTTCACAAGTTCCTCAAGTCCTGCCTTTTGATGTTATGAACATTTTGAAAAGACTGAAACCATCGACCTCCATCACTGCTGATGGAATTCCCCAGATTGTTTACAAAAGATGTGCCACTCAGTTAGCAGTTCCTGTTTCAATACTTGACAACATGTCTTTGAGCAGTGGTGAGTTACCCAGAGTATGGAAGCACGGAAGAGTGGTACCAATTCCTAAAGTCCAGAACCCACAAAAGGCCTCGGAGTTTCGGCCCATAAGCATTAACTCTGTGGTCTGCAAAGTTGCTGAGAAGATTGTGAGAAGAAAACTGCTGTCATTCTGCGTGCAAAAGCATCTCATACCATCTGAACAGTTTGGGTTTATGGAGAGATCTTCCACTACTCTTCAACTGATTACCTATGATTTTTACTGGAAAAGAGCCTTGGCACAAAATCGATTAACTGATGTTCTTTATTTTGACTTGTCCAAGGCTTTTGACAGAGTAGACATCCACAAATTAATTGAGAAACTATAGTTGGAATACGTGGAGGTGTGCTAAAATGGCTCATGTCTTATCTGACTGAGAGAACACTCTCAGTACGTGTCAACTCAGCCATCTCTTCTATCTTCTCAGCAACCAGCGGAGTACCCCAGGGTGGTGTCTTATCCCCTATCCTTTTTAATATCTACACTGTCTTATCCCCTATCCTTTTTAATATCTACACAAGTGATTTACCCGGCCTTTTATCAATTGATTGGAGAATCAAAGTCATGGCATATGCAGATGATATAAAAGTTTTTGCTTCATACTCTGATGAGGACAAAGTCGAAGTAACTGATGCCTTGAGTGCTTGCCTTCAGAAAATCTTATCGTGGGCAGACTTGAACTGCATTGATGTCAACTTGCGTAAAAGTGTGTGCTTGACCATCACCAAAAGGCAGGTGCAAGAGAACACACTTAAAGGCAGTGGATCGGCAAAATTTGAGGTGCGGTTTTTTCACCGATTTCGGGTCTTCTCGACCCCTTAAACCCCTGGGTGACCTTTTTTCCGCATGAAAATGGTAAAATCCCCGTCTTTGGGGACCCCTCCAAAAGGAGCCTGTGCGAAGTGACCCTGGCTCGGTCCGACTCTCACGTCTAACGCAAGTTTTGCGGTCAGAGACGCAGAGGTTGAATTCGTGGTTTGGAAGGTCGTCGGAGAATAATGCTTTTTTTCGAAATTTCGTCATGTCAACCGTTGCTTTGTGATTTCCTGCGCTCGTTTTTGTCCTCGAGTCCAGTTAACGAGTTTTTTTTTATTTTCAGGGTATCTCTATGTCTCACGTTAATGTGTATCGGCCTAATATCATTACCTGGGTATGTTGTGCAGGTCAACTTGTGCCATTGTACCCGTTTGGCTCATTCTCCGCCTGGGTCTTGAGGCGGTCTGGAAGATCATACATGATTCTAGCAGTGAAGTTTCTCATAGTTCTACTATGAGAATGTGGATTCATTGTTTACTTTCACTCTCATGGTCGAACACCGTACCCAATAATTCAGGGTCCCTCTCATTGTAGGTTTTCGTTCATATCAGCTATATAGTTTACTTGTATACATGAGGCGTGCTATCAAAGTAAGCTTTTTCATGTAGTTACATGTTGACGAATGTCATCAGTCCACGCGTTTCCATATCGAGGTTGTTGGCGTGCGTTTATGCGTTGTTTCTGGTGAGTTGGTATGCAAAGCTCACTTTTTATGTGTCATGATTTGTAGTTTAGCGACCTGTTTACAAACCCATGGATCAGCCCTGTAACGTCAGGAAGTTTGGATTCATTGTTTGGGGCACGCTGTGTATGGCACGCTGTCTAATATATGCACGATTTGCCGACCTGAAAGTATGTCCATCCAAACATTCATGGTCTTTTTGCACCATTTTTGTTTTCTATCAAAGTTTTCTTAGTGCTGCTCTACTTCTTCATGCTTGGTGACTCTCATATCTTGGCAGGTCGGTTATTGCTCCAGATTATCTCGTATGCATGGTTGTTTCATATTGCAGCCGCTACAATCGATTGATTGATACCTTACTTGCCCCTGACCGCACTTGCTGCAGAAACTGCGGTATGAAACAACTGTAACGTCTGCGAGGAAATCTGGCGCGATTTTGCCCAGATGGCTAACGGGCTGCGCTTAGCATTCGCGTAGGTGACTCATCACAGGCGATCCAACCGCCACTAACGCTTACTGACCTTCAGCGTACGGCGATAGGGGTGCTTTTACGCAGATTTTGGTCTCTTTTGATTTGCAGGCTGGAATCGTGTAACAATTGTTTGGCTATGGATCATGCGACCATTCAGTGTGCACGAACGCTCAATGATATTGCTTTATCTATTTCCCATGTAGGCTTTTGTCCTGTTTATCGTAAATACTTCTTTACATATGCTGATTTTCAGATGGCATTCTACTAAAGACATTGCGCTGTAGGCTTTTATCAATGGCAATCGCAAGGACAACACTGGTTTTCTGGCCATCTTCTTCAAGCATAAAGTGAGTTTTATCATAGTTTTTATATTTTCCGTCTTTTTGATTTTCACTCGAACTTTTTTTACATATTTATTAATTTTTTTTTGTTGCTGCCTTTATCCAAAACTTTGCTTTGTACTCGCTTGTCGATGGGTAGGCCTATATAATAATTTAGCTTATGTGGTCGACTCTCATTCTTGAAGGCACATCCTTATTGATACTTAGAACTGAAGCGGGGTTAAGCAAGCAATAATGTTTTGAAACAACGAGAGGAAAGTTGGATTTAGCTTCTTTCTTGAAAATTTGGCTCTTCTAGCGTTCATAGTTCGCTGAGCTTATGTTCCTTCCAGTGGTACTGCGCTTGGCAACCTGGATCGGTGAGTTATGAATGCGGTGTAAATCTCTTTGCGCCAGAGATGATCTATTGGCGTTTTGTGGCGAAGTATGGACTCGTAGTCGTTGAACTTTCGCTTGATGATGTCCCGCCTTTCCACAACTCGTTCTCCTCTCAATTCCGCTTCTTTCAGTGCGTTCATGTGCAGTGTGGACATCATGGTGTAAATGGTATAGGTAGCACGCGGCCTGAAAATGTTGAAGGTTATATTAGTTTTTGCGAAAACGTTGCTTGTGAGGCAGAACTCACAAGTGAAGATCTTTTGGGCAATACAACCGATCAAGGGCATTCTTAGTCTCGCAAGGGCTAGTTCCACCTAAGGAACAAGCCCTTGCGAGATCCTTTTGAAACAGCGGCTGCAGAAGAATTTCTTTCAGTTTTTCGTGTGCCGGTGTCCCTTTAGCAATGACCGGTTTTTGCCGTCGTTCATCCATCGAAAGTGCCTGATGATGACACTGTGTCAAGGGCCCGGTAATGGCTTCCTGTAATTTTACTTCTAGGTGTGTTCCAATGCTAAGCGCAGTACCTTGCTCCACTCGTGGATGCCAGCCACATGGTTCAAGCACCCATTGAAAATGTGCCTTATATGCTCTTTGTTGTTAGTCAGAGCACCCTGGTCTATTGCATAATACAGGTGCTTCTTTATACTTTGTATCCACGGTTTCAGCACCTCGCAGTTCTTTCGCTTAGCGGCCTTAATGCAAATTTCTTCCTGGTTCATCGAAGCAGTTTTTTAAGATACCGCCTGAAGATTCTTATGGACATATCTGGCCATGTGCAATGGGTCCAGATGCCATTTGATGTTTTGGCCGGACTCCGCGTTGTACGATTCGATCTCTTTCCCGTACATGGCGCTGCGGTCGGTTGAGATCGAGCCAACAGGGATGTCCCTCGATCTCAAACCGCAGCAGCCTGCGGAAGCCCTCCTTTTCCATGGCTCCACTGACATTCCCTGAAAAACGAAATCTTTCTCAGTTTGAGTTGGTTGATGTTTTCTCAGCTTACCTGTCTCCCTGCGGCTCACGACTTCTGTGTGGATACAGAGCTTGATCTTAAGGTCGACGGCGAGAACCTTGCAAAGTTCGGCACTATGGCTGCGCGAGTCAAACGCGCCGTCTACGGCTGTCCCAGGGAGTGGGACATCCTTCGCGCTGAAAAGTTTCGAGCTGATTCTAAGGCCCCGGTCAAACTTCACGCGACTTAATCGTCGCGATCTAATCGCCAAGATTTCCATTCATTTTCATTTCACATTCAAAAATTTCGGTCTGGAAAAGTATCACAACCGAACTATCACAACTTCACGCGACGATCAAATCGCGTGAAGTCTGCCCGGGGCCTAAGGCATACTTGTTCTTCAACCATTTTACCTCATAGGCCGTTCGTATCTGTTGAATTGTCCTGTTTCGATGTTTCTCGTGAACGACTTCTATAGACGGTCTGAGTTCTGTAAAGACTCGCTTGTACGCCGATAATGATGGTAATCCTAGTCCAAGCTGTGTACTCCACTGCGTCAGTTTCTGTAACACACCAGGTAAAACTATTTTGGTTTGAAGAAGCCGCATGTTATTACATTCATTCGCACACCAGTCGTAGTGGCGGCAATGCACGCAAGAGCGTTCCCGAGGTACAACTTGTCGATGCGGCTTGAGTTTATAACATCTTGACCTTCCCATCGCTAGATCTTATCACTGTCTTTCGTGATGTAGCGAATGATTGGGGCGGAACCAGATTTTTCCAAACATACTCCTTTCTCGCTAACTTCACAGTTACATCTGGTGAGGAAAAATAGCTCAAGGAGCTTTTTGCCCTGCACCAGGAAACACTGGTCCAACAGCTCTGCTTTAGTCTCTTTCAGGCGGAGCCTTTCGTCGTCGCTTTCATAATCCAAGTGCTTGCCAGGTGAAAAGTGAGATCCACTCTTAATAAAATTTTACTGCTACTCTATTTACGTAAAACTTTTGAGCTTGTTGATTTTATGATTTTTTGACTTCTTTAGTTTATTCTAACCGAGGTTGCTGTTGAGGTTGCCCTTTGGACCGATGGTGTGGTCCTTCCGTCTGTGTCACTTTCCATAGGGTCCTCACCCACATCACCGGCCGCATCCATCATCACCACCTAATTAATTTATCAACTAGTTGTTCGCGGTTTGTTGTTTTTGATGCTGAGGACCACCTCTTGCTCTTGCTCGTCTTGCTCTTCTGGGCCGTTTGGAATTCTCCAAGTATGACTTCGGAAATATTTCTTCATAAAAAAGTTCATGAAGCGAGCAACGTCCGAGACGCGCAACGTAATTTCCTTGAAAATTATTGTTTATGCTGCTTAGTTTAAAAAAAAGTGATAAAACTGACTGCGAGTGTTCTTGTGGTCTTGTGGCAGTGTTCAATCTGTCCAGCAGATGTGCTGGGATTTGAGCTTCGTTCACATATGAAGTGTCATCTGCCGTATTCAGTGGTTGTGCACCATCTCAGACAATTGCTGGGGGCAGACGGGCACCGGAAAAATAGATTGCTGATTTCTTGCACCCCGCTCGCGGATTTTTTGGAAAGCATTCAGAACTTTTCGGAAGACCGCTCGCTGAGTCAGCGGATTTTTGAGAAACCGCCTGTTGAATTTTTTTCGCTCTTATCTTTTGCAGATATATTGCTGAATCTCTGAGGAATCGAGAACTCAGCAAGCGGTCTTCCGAAAAGTCCTGATTGCTTTCCAAAAAATCCGCGAGCGGGGTGCGAGAGATCAGCAATCTATAAATCCGGTGCCCGCCTGCCCCCGTCGATTGTCTGAGATTTGCGGTCACTTCTGCGAGGAGGTATTGCGCCTGGGAAACTTTCTCATCTTTGTTGTAGGTGGATTGATGGAGCTTACCGCGTTTATGAAATGTGTGACGCAGATGAACTTTTGTGTCTTGTTGAACTCATCGATGTATATCTTCAAGAGTTCTTGCGCGACCGAATGGTAGATATGTAGTGCAGCTAGGAAGATCGCATTGTGAGGCTGACTCTTCGACAAACGCGTTGCAAGGCTCTCATCGATCTTATTCCCACAAAGAACGCAGAAATGTCTCTTCACCATTTTGCGAAAGTTCGTTTCTGTAAGCAGTTTTAGATGCGTTTGTTTCTGATAATTTCTGGATATTTGGATGTGTAGACCAAATTTCGTAATAATATCGTAAGCGATTCTTCTACATTAGCGCGGCTTTGAGCTTATTTTTCTGTGAGCTCGCTTATCTGAGAGAGGTAAAGTGCCTAGCTAGCATTGTCGTGGCTCATTTCAATTTCTTAGGACCGCTTATGATGGGTTCAATTCAACTTCTAACGCTTTCTTTAGATAACGCTATCAGACATCTATCCACATTTCGCGTAAACTCGTTCGTTCAAAAGTTAAGTTTTTTTGAGCAGTTCTCATTGAGCTGAGTGCTCACAATTGCAAGAAAATATTTATGAAGCCATTCGAACTGTTCGTAGAATTCTCCTTGCATGATTCTAAAAATAGCATTTTTGAGAAAACTATTTTTGAGGGATATGGGGCTAATTGTTGATATTCCATTACTTCTTTCAATTTTAACTTTCGTTCGTCTCATGAAAGTACTTTCGTCTCGTCAAATTCAGATTTCATCCTCCTATGCACCACTTGTTAGCTTTTAGTTGAGTCAGGAACAGATTGATAAGACGTGAGTGGGACAAGGACCACGTTTATTTGGTGAGCAGTTCTCATTGAGCTTAGCTTTCCCCGCGCCGGGTGTACTCCATTACCATCGTCAAGTATAGTGAATAGAATTTGATATTGAAATCGGGCATTTGAAACACCCGAAATCAAACATATAAAGACAGTTTACTGCACATAGAAACTGGACGAAGTTGCATTCGCTTGAGGTAGTACTACAATTTCTATCAGAATGTTCATTTAGGATATTGTTCGATTTGCGAGGTCGAAAAATGGTTTGCTGTTGAAATGGGGTTTTCCCATCACTTCCAAGTTATCAAGAACATGGCACTCAAAAGTTCTTTCCGTGAAATTATGCGACGAAATGTAAGTGCAAAAAATTAGACGTACGAAAAATAACTAGAAAATCAGCATATCCTTCCAGCTTCAAGCACTAAAAATTCCACTCAGAAGGTAGACACTCCTCCACAAGAGGTTATGATGCTAGCTTAGGACCTTGAGGCGCCAAGCACGGTTGTTGGCAGTAACCAGTACTTCTGGTATCGACCAGTGACGGTAAGATATGAATTTCTAGATGAAGTGTATAGAACAGAATTTGATTGATTTTAGTTTGATTGCGCGATAATTGCACACTTGTCAATGTTGCTGTACACACCGCTTCTGTTAGAATTGGGAGGGTATATCCAGGAACAATGCGAAAATTTGGTATGCACTCTACATGTTCCTTTCAAAAAAAATTTGAGTAATGATATAGTTATAGGTCGTCTTTGTTGAGCGAATGAAGCGGCATACCGGCCTGATTGGGATAAGTCACGAAAAATCGTTCATTGAATAGTGACTCGGAGAAATATATTCTTCAAAGTTGAATGCTTCACCCATTCAGCTGTTTATCAGATGATCAACTGATTTGTCATTTCTGATCTTATCTATTTGGATTCTATGCCTGTTATGCCAAATTCATATCAGTCTTATACTTTTCGTACATATACGTATGAATCTCACAAGAATGTAAATGAAGTTCTTTACACAACATCAGTTATAAAGACATATCCATCTTGCACATGAACAGCACAGTTCAACAATAATATGGAACATGAGTGACTACGGTTAACAAATATTTACAAACATGATGTAACAATTTCAAAGGACCTTCATTGGAATGATGTAACACAGCTTGCGACATCAGAGACCAACACATCCTTCAACGTGAAGTCTGGCGTCCGCACGGCGAATTGAGACCACATCTAACAAGGGAAGTCATTTAACTTAGGTCGGCCTTTTGAAATGAGACACATATATTTAGATTCAGCTCGGAACGCTGATTCCAAATATGCTGTTCTTAGCTGCGAAGCGTTCCTTTGAAGCGAGTTATGAGCTTTTTTATTATGTGTCATTGACATATAATTGAATATGGAAAGAGGGCCTTTCGATGAAAATCTGCCCAAAAAGTGGTGGAAGATTGAAATAACATCAAATTGAGTCACTTGGCTTTGATGGGGTGTAGTATGCATTTGAACCACTACCTAGATGATGATACCGTAGCATGCCTAAGTCGGTCAACATGCAAAGTTTGCTCAAGAAAAAGCACATAACTTGCTTCAGAGTAATGCTTCGCAGCTATGGAAAGCAGATTTGAAATCAGCGTTTCAAGCTGACTGCAACTGTATGTGTCTCATTTCAAAAGGCCGACCTAAGTTAAGTGACTTCCCTTGTAAGTGAGCAAAACTGATTATGTACAGAACATAAATGCTGCTCCATTCTTCCATGCAAACAAGTGCAAGTTTAGAGCATATAGACATCGTGTTTACATCGATTCGAAACCATTTTCATCTTCACGCTAACTCATTTAAAACAAGTTTGATCAAGGTGCAGTGCAAGGCTAATGTTACACGTTTTCCCTATGTAATTGATGATTACAATATTTTGCAGTAAAAGTTGACAATGATAAGCTCTTACCTCCTATATACAAAACTTCTGACGAAAATCTTGCAGAAAAGCCCATATTGAGCAAGACTGTTTCATTTCAGACAATTTCGGATCACTTCAAACAAGCTGAAAAAAAAATTCAACCGTGAAGTCAAAAATCGACGTTTTGGAAAGGACTCACATCAGAAAAGTTGTTTCAGCAATAAGACAATCACTCACATTGGAGGGCGTGCACTGAGACCAAGCTAAGTTCAAACACCTCGAATTTGCAACAATCGGAATCTGATTTCTCCAGTCTGATCATGAAACGCTGTTCTTCCCTCACCTTGCATAGTTCTATTCTCTAGACAGAGTCTCCCTAGCATCCTCATCAAAACCAAAATTCGCGACTGAGCTCTTGGCAACGTCGAATGCGATGTAAAACGAGGAGAAGGACAGATGACTGACCTGAAAGAGTTTTTGAAGAATGAAAAAAGGCTAGAGTCGTGTCCTTCCACACTTCATTTACAAACAGAAATAACTCACCTTGATCTGCTCGAGATCCCAAGATGCGCACTTCCCTGTATCACCATGACGTCCCATGTTCTGAAAAAATGCAATAAACATCAAACCCGATACCTCTACTTTCCTATAGCTTTAGTTACGCATGAGGAAGTGAGCGAGAAAAACAAAATTCACGGATTTCCCCTGACGACACTACGACTGACGCTAAAATGCAGCAACATTAAAGGGCGCGTGTAGGAAAGTGAGGGGACAACTCGTCCGCAAGCGTGTAAGACTGGCTTGCACGCACGCGTTTGGGGGCAATTTTCTTGGCAGGGGGGGGGGGGGGGCACGTCATGCGCCCGGGATTACTTTGTTGTTACATTTGGGGGGTAAGAAACTTACTGCGTCAAAATTTAGACTACTTCGATTTTGCCGACACTGCCTTTAAAGAGTACACGCACTCCAGTATATCTCTGGCTAGGCCCGTGCTTGTGAGAGATCTTGGAATATTGATGGACCATAAGCTCCTGTTAAGATCTCATATTGAGAATATTTCGCGTGCAGCCTTACACAGAGTATTTTTTTTATTACGGAACTTGAAGCATGTAAACTTGAGAGTATACATCAAGCTGTACTGTATATGGCCTATGTTCTCCCTTCATTAGAGTATGCTTGCCAAGTCTGGAATCCTCACTTTAAAAAAGACATTCTAACCGTGAAGAAAGTCCAAATCGTTTTCACCCGTGTACTGTACTACAGATTTTTTCCAAACGAGGATTACCCGTATACCCTTCCCTCCTATAGATGTAGGCTGGACCACTTGAAGTTGCATAGCTTGCTGTATCGAAGGGTTTTGGCTGACTTAGTGCTTGCCTTCCAAATAACGCCTTGAAACAAAATTGTTCCTAGTGAATTCTGGGTTTGGAGACCGTGCAACGGCCGAACAGGTGGGTTTACCTTCCACTGCATTGACTCTACTGTTCCAAATACACTCTTCTACAACTCTTTTTTCGCACGCACTTCTCGATGGTTACAAA